GTGTAAGGGTTATTGCCGAGTTTAAAATGAGGAAACTGAGACCAGCATAAGAAAATTAAATGCCAATTTATTTAACTCCCGGGCGAGGTTCCATGGTCCCAGGGAAAGGAGGCCAGAGAAGTCGCACCAACTTCCTGGGGGTGGGGTTTTTATGGCTAGGAGGAAGGAGCAACAGCTGGGCGCTCTGATTGGCTCCAGGTGAGTGGGATTGAGATGGGGCGGGCCGCTATTGGTTGGCGGGTTGTTGGGCAGGTTTTCCAATGGGAGAGCCAGCCAGGAGCCTTGCATCAGCTGGAGCCTTCCAGGGGAGCCATGTGGCAGAACTAGGTGCCGAGTGCAGAGCCTGGTGCTGGGTGCAGAGGTGGGTGTGTCCAACCTCCAGGCGAGGCAACTGGCCTTACAGTGGAGAGACTCCTATGTATCAGACCATCTGTAAGCTCTGGAACTATAGTGTGACCAAGACAAATGGAGTCCCTGACCCTGAAGGAATGACTACTTAGTGGGGAAAGCAGCCAGAACCTACGAATAGGAAGCAGAGATCTCTATCAGGGGCTGTGGGTGTAAAGGAAGAAAGAAAGGGGTGAGTGGAAGGATCTTACACTGGAGGGATCCAGGAAGCTCTCTGAGAAGGCACTATTTCAGCTGAGGCCTGAAGGAGAAGGGCCAGCCAAGTGTCTAAGGAGGTGTGGTTGGGCGGGGGCATGCTGGTGGTAGCTGAGATGGAGAAAGTGCCCTGTACAGTAAGTTCTCACTTAACATTGTGGATAGGTTCTTGGATACTGTGACTTTGAGCTAACCAACGCGTAACTAAACCAATTTTACTATAGGCTAATTGACAGAAACAAGATGTATAGTCCTATGGCTCATATCTGATCACAAAGATATCACCAAACTTCTATATGAAACCCCAAACATTTCTGGTATTAAACATTGAAGTAAATGTGGCTGTACATACATTGCAGAAAGATGGATAAAAACAACTAAGATATTATCTGCCCAATTTTTGATGAATCAGTGAATGATGGAGGTTATGGTGGCAGTGGGTTCAAGGGAGAAATGCTTGCGAAGCAACATTGTCAGCACTTCTGACCACCATGAAGTTCAAAAACAATCACAAATCCGGCCGCTTGCTGAGTGCTTTGGCACAGCATCATTTATTGGTGTGCGTTTGGGTGATTACCTGTACTTGAGGAATATTCATTCTGTGATCATTTATATTCATTCATTCATTCATTCATTTTCCAACTGCTTATTCTAGTTCAGAGTGAAGGGTGGCCAGAGCCCATCCCAGCAGCACAGGGTTCCATGCCGGAACCACCCTGGACAGGATGCGGTCCATTGCAAGGGGTCTCCCGCACACCCACACTCATTTGGACTGTTTAGCGCCACTTCATTCAAGGCCAGCATAGCTTTGGGATGTGGAAGGAAACCAGAGCGCCCAGAGAAAACCCATGCAGACATGGGGAGAACGCGCACACTCCACACAGACAGTGGCTCCAGCAGGAAATAGTTTTTTTTTTTTTTTTTCTCATCAATGTTATAACAAAACAACATTGAATGAAATGATGTTATTTGAGGACCTGCTGTATGTTGGAGGTAGGACATCGGTAAGAAAGAGAAGGAACCGGGACCCACTTCCAAGTTTTCTGGCTTTACCAACTAAGCGAATGTTGATGATGATGCTGGCCTGGATGTGAGGCAGCCGCATGGGCCCAAGGACTCCCCAGCCCAGTCCCCTTGGGGATTGTGCCTGAGCCTGTGCCTCTTCCCGCCTGAGAGCCTGTGGACTTTCCCCTTCTGCTCCCTGCCTTCTGCTGTTGAATTGCCCAGTGGCACTTTCAAACGATGGAGAAAAGGAAGAAGGCTAACAGGAGCATCACGCATTTGAGGGATTTTGCAGAATGAGGCTTGCACCCAAGTGGACAGGAATATTGTTCATCAAGTTTGCTATTAATTGTTACCTCCAGAAAAAGCAGTTAATTAGATCATTGTCCAAAGCTTTGCAGTGCTTCATGAAATTTGTCTAAAAATCTGACTCTTAAAACATTCCTTGTGAAAATAGAAACATTTCCGTGCCTAGACTCCAAATAATAACAGACACTGAGAGTGTTTTCAGAATTATTGGACTGATTTAAATTTCACTAGAAAACAGCTTTTTAAAACTCAGTTGTCTGTATGTGGCCTCCGTGTGATCACTTCCCACCAGCAGCTGTTCACTGCCAACTTCTGGTGGCTTGAGAAAGTGAGCCGTTTCCCACGCTCCCGCACGGCAGCTCCCTGGGATGCATGTGCTGGGAGATGCTTGGGCTCCTGGAAGGGAGACAGGGACCGGCTGGGAGAAGCCCTTGTCTGACTCCCTTCTCCACAGCCTGCCAGCATCTTCTAGAAAAGCCTTGCTGGTGCCAGGTGATGACGGAAAATATGTCACCCAAAGAGTTAACAGCTCATAACATGTGGTTAAAAGATATTAAAGATATTAAAAGAGGGTTTTGTTAAGTCCGCATTTCCCTCCCAGAGCTCTGGTTCCAACCCTCGCCTGGTCTCCAACCAGTTCTGCACATTGAACTTTTTTATTAATAGCAAGTTTCTGGCATATTGAGAGTTTGGTCTTTAGTTCCTTTTTTCTGCCTCTTGTAATGAGGTGTGAAGAGACTGGAGGAGGAGGAGGAGGGAAATAGTGGCCAGGAGGAGGAGGAGGAGGAAGATGAGGAGGAGGAGGGAGAAGAGGAGGAGGAAAGAGAGGAGGAGGTGGAAGGGGAGGAGGAGGAGGTGGAAGGGGAGGAGGAGTGGGAGAAAAAGGGAAGTAAGTGGCCTGGAAAATCCACTGTGCTTCTATCAACTGAGAGTTGCTACTCTGGATTCGTGTTTATCCTTAAAGAGCAAAATAAAGTGTCATTTGCAAAATCTCTCCTTTTTGATTAGGGAATTTTTTTTCTATTTCTTTTTCTTTTTTCTTTCTGTTTTCTTTTTCTTTTGAGACAGTCTTGCTCTGTTGCCCAGGCTGGAGTGCAGCCGTGCGATCTCGGCTCACTGCAGCCTCTGCCTCCTGGGCTTAAGCTATTTTCCTGCCTCATTTCCTGAGTAGCTGGGACTGCAGGCGCCTACCACCATACCTGGCTAATTATTTTTTTGTATTTTTAGTAGAGACAGGGTTTTACCATGCTCGAGGCCAGGCTGGTCTCGAACTCCTGGCCTCAAGTGATTTACCCGTCTCCGTTTCCCAACGTGTTGGGATTATAGGTGTGAGCCACCTTGCCCAGCTAGGGAATTTTTTTCTTTCAATTCACAGATTCTCTAAGGAAAATGACCACTGGCTTTGTCTTCCATCATCAGTGGATTGTGTAATAACAAGAAATTGAGGGGGTGTCAGACCTTGTGGGTGAGCCCGAGTGCCTCCACACCAAGGGGCTCTTTTCCCATTTTCCCAAGGTGCATGGGTTTTAGCTTAAGAACAGTGATATCTTTTTTAAAACAAATCTTCGCTCTTGTTGCCTAGGCTGGAGTGCAATGCTGCAATCTTGGCTCACTGCAACCCCCAACTCTCAGGCTCAAGCGATTTCCCTGCCTCAGCCTCCTGAGTAGCTGGGATTACAGGCACATGCCACCATGTCCAGCTAATTTTGTATTTTTAGTAGAGAAATTTTAGTTTCACCATATCAGTCAGGCTGTTCTTGAACTCCTGACCTCAAGTGATCCACCCGCCTTGGCCTCCCAAACTGATGGAATTACAGACATGAGACACCACTCCCGGCCAGTGATATCTTTTAATAGGCAGTTATAACTGATTTCAAGAAGGCAATTCATGTAGGTAATTAAAAGGACCTTTTTTTTGATTAGGGAGTCAAAAAAACTTTAGAGTCTGACTCCAGGGGTTCAAATCCCTGTGTTGCCACTTATTGCTTGGTAACTTTGGACACACTGATGAATCTGGCTAATTTTCCCCATTAGAAAAATATGGGTATTAGTAGTACCTATGCTTTCCCCTCCCCCAAGACAGAGTCTTGCTCTGTCACCCAGGCTGGAATGCAATGATGTGGTCTTGGCTTACTGCAGCCTCCACTCCCAGGTTCAAGTGAGTCTCCTGCCTCAGCCTCCTAAGTAGCAGGAATTACAGGTGCCCGCCATCATGCCCAGCTAATTTTTGTATTTTTAGTAGAGACCGGGTTTACACCATGTTGTTGGCTAGGCTGGTCTTGAACTCCTGAACCTCATGATCCACCTGCTTCGGTCTCCCAAAGTGCTGGGATTACGGGCGTGAGTCACAGTGCCCAGCCAGTAGTACCTAGTCTTAAGAGGTTCTTCTGAGCATTAGATGTTAGTAAAATGTCTAGAATATGGTAAGTACTCAGTAAATATTAGCTATTATCTTGACCCATTAAACTTTTCAAAATAATTAGTGATACCATAATGCCCCATGCGGATTCGCTTCTTGACACTGTATTGTATCCTCATCTCTTTGTATCAGTTGTTTTTCTTATCCTTGTGTATGTCTTAAAGGCAGGGACTGGACCTTAACCATTGTTCTTTTTTTTTGACAAGGGTTCACTCCGTCACCTAGGCTGGAGTGCAGTGGCGCAATCATGGCTCTCTGCAGCCTCGACCTCCCGGGGCTTAAGCGATCCTCCCAGCTTAGCCTCCCAAGCAGCTGGGACTACAGGCCCGGGCCACCAAGCCTGGCTAATGTTTTGTATTTTTGTGTAGAGATGGAATCTCACATTGTGCTTTGTACCCACAGCACTAAGCAGTCCTAGTAGGGAGTGATTATTCCCTTTTCTGAGTAAATTCACTAGGATTTGAATAATGACTCCTGTTCTTCCACACAGCCCATTTTGCCTAGAAAAGAACGCTGGGGTTTGCAGTTCAGGCTCATATCTTTCTCAGATTCTGTTGTATTTTACATAGCATGGGTACTGGTGACAGTATTCTGGGAGTAGGTGTTCAGCCTTACTGAGAAAGGACTTGTTTCTGCATTCCTTTTAACCACGCTTGGTTTTGCTCAGGTCACCACAAATGGTATCATTGCCACGAGTGAACCCCCGGCCGAAGAATCCCACCCTGGGCTCTTCCCACCAACATTCGGTGCAGTCGCCCCTTTCCTGGCGGACTTGGACACGACGGATGGCCTGGGGAAGGTTTATTATCGAGAAGACTTTTCCCCCTCCGTTACTCAGCGGGCAGCAGAGTGTGTCCAGAGAGGGTTCCCGGAGATCTCCTTCCAGCCTAGTACTGTAGTGGTTGTCACTTGGGAATCCGTGGCCCCCTACCAAGGACCCAGCCGGGACCCGGACCAGGAAGGCAAGGTAAGCACTCTTCCAGGTCCACGTGCAGGTAGTCGGACACATTGTCTTTGTAAACTTTGGTCTCACACTTTGTGCTGCTTTGACATACATCATGACGTACATCATACACCATTGATACAGACAGGAAATCCAAAGCGAAATCTAGTAGGCGGTTATTACAGGACCCAAACCTCCAAAAGCTTATCTGCAAGGCTGTATAACTCTATGTTTCAAAGACAAGTAGACATAAAAAAAGCCAATTTCTGCCAAGACTGCTATGTGGCAAAAATAGGGTTGATAAATGGTATTCCCCGGCTGCTCTTACCTCAGGTGGCAGATAGTGGAAGGATAGCTTTTCTTCCCTTCCCCTCGCCTCCCCTCCTCCCCTCC